AAGTTGAACTGGGGGTAGGTTTGACTTTGATCAACTGAGTAATACTTGTGTGGTTTTCTCTCGCTTCACTACAGAGTTAAGCCAATGCTAGTTGTCCTGCTGTCGGACCATCTTCCATAGGGCCAGAGGTGGTCTTGAAAGATAGATGTGTCCTATGGTGCCCATTATTGGAAGTATATGGGGATTGGAAGAGAAACAATTTGAATTGTTTATAATGTATGGAGCAAGAAGCTACTATCAAAATATGAAAAATGTTAGCAGAGGACATGGTTTCATGGACAAATGAAATGGAAGTTTGCTCCTGTCATGAACATTCAATAATGCAGTATATACTATTATGAATGTTCCCAATAATATTTTTGTGTGATGAGACCCACACACAATAAAATTTGTCAGAATTTTTGTCTTTATAGAATACAGATCTGGAGCAGTCCTACAAATAGCAAGCCTGTGTGTGTGAGGTCACATGGTTTAGCACCTGAACTCCTTCTTTTCTCTATGGAAAGGTGCTTACAAAATTTTTGATATGAAGAGGGAGGTGGTCAAACAGAATGCAGCCATAAAATGTCCAGGGAAATTACAAATTGAGGTGTGTTAGGCAGTCAAGTGATTTAAAATATTGCCTTATTTTTATGGAGTATGTGAAGTTTACGGTACTGTGGATTTTTTTTGGAATTTGTAACTTGTTATAATTTCTTTTTTACAGTCTAAATTCATAGTTAATTTTGCACCTAATTTTATGGTCTGTTTCCCAAATAAGGCTGCCCAAAGTGCATAAGATTCAGATACTACCACATTTGAATGCTTCCTGGTAGGAAGATCTAAACTAGTGGAGAAGTCCAGTCTTTGCTGAGAAAATGACATCCAAGCTGACTCCTCACTATGGCTGTCTGAGACCCACATACAAAGAGGGCAGCGTGAAGAGGGAGGGACCAGGGTGTGAGGAGCAGCCCTTGCTAGAGGGTAGAGCCTGCCAGACACCACCACTGCACCATCACATGGGGCAGTAGAAGCTGTGGTATGTTTTTAGGCACTTTTATTTCAAGAACTATATTAAAAAAATTAATATGACCATTTTTTTTTTACCCTATTCACATCCAAGGCAGGTAGGGTGGGTATATATTTTCCAACACATACTCAATAGTGAAGGTAATATCACCCAATTATATTTAAAGCCCTTCCCCAGGCCCTATCCATCCATCTATGATTGTTGAAATTATAGGGAATTCGATCTTAGTCATCTCAGGATAAGGGGAAGGGTCCCAGGTCTTACCCAGGCTTTGGGGAGGCTTCTCTGAGTTTTAGTCCACTGTAGGTATATTTTCCCCAGCTGGCTTGTTCCCTTGAAGTCCTAACTCTCTGCTTCTGTACTCAGCTTGGGGAACCAACAGAGTCCAGCCTGCCAAAGTCTACCATGCGGCTATTTCCCTCTGACAAATGGTAGCTGTGGATCTACCTAAAACTTTTGCAGCCTTCTTTTCCTCCCACGTACAGTGTAGCGGCTGGGACAGGCAGATTCCGAGATATCTCTATGAGTCCCACTCCTTGGCCTTCCCGCCCTTGAGTATGGAAGGGACCTGTTATTCACTTCCAGACAGTAGGATGGGGCTAAGGTTAAGGAACTTTGTACCCTGCTTCTAGCAGTCCTCAACTATTGACATGGGCATTGGTGTGCAAACACCATTTCCTCTTGTCAGGGCAGATGGGATCAGGGGTCAGGCCCCCAGCTTGGTTACTGGTACCAAATTGATGGGAAGAATGGGCAGAGCAAGTGAAGTTACAAAATTCTGTGTAAAGACTGAAGCACAGTACATTCCAAAGAAGGAACAGGTCAGCCCTGTGAGTGGAGGAGATAGTGCGTTTGACAAGGTTTCTCCTTTTGTGCTGACTGCCTAATTTTATGTTAAATAGGGGGAGGGGTAGAATATTCATGATTTTTCCTGCAAAAGGGTGGAGAATTCCTGGAATAGAGAACCCTCCCCTTTTCTATCCTTGTAAGGCTTTTTCTGAGGGTTGTCATAGTATTTGTAAACTGTCATGTTGCTTGTGAGTGTGACTTTTACTATGTGAATGAGGGTAGTTCATTTAGGGTACTGTTTTTCTTTTTTCTTTTTGAGACAGAGCCTCAAGCTGTCTCCCTGGGTAGAGTGCCGTGGCTTCACTGCTCACAGCAACCTCCAACTCCCGGGCTCAAGCGAGTCTCCTGCCTCAGCCTCCCAAGTAGCTGGGACCACAGGCGCCCGCCACAACACCCAGCTATTTTTTGGTTGCAGCCATTATTGTTGTTTGGTGGGCCCAGGCTGGATTCGAACCCACCACCTTAGGTGCATGTGGCTGGTGCCTTAGCTGCTTGAGCCACAGGCGCTGAGCCAGGGTACTGTTTTTAAACCTTTCTTTTTACTATGTGAATGAGGGTAGTTCATTTAGGGTACTGTTTTTCAACCTTTCTTATCTCTAGGCACACTTGAATCTCTAGTTAAACTTCTCTAGGACACTTAAATTATTTTGATTAAAAAAACAGTGAAAAAAGGATATTCTTACTGTGCTTTGAACTTCTTTTGAAAACAATTTAATTAATGATCTTTAAAAATTTTAACAGCACACCTAAGATTCTCTCATGGCACACTGGTTGAAAATCACTGATTTAGAGATACTGTTACCTCAACTGTGCGCTTGTTCCAACGATTTTCTATCAAGGCCTTGACAATATCTGTACTTTGTGGTTTCTCTACCTCTTTCTGATTGGTCAGTCCTTAGAGACTCTCTATTGCAGACCAAACTTCTGGTGAGTCCTTGGGAACCCCCGTGATATGGTGTCACTGGTCTTTCTTGGGAGCCTCTTTCCTAGGGTCCTAATCAGACTGTTCTCTAAACGCCCTGTGACAGCATGACCACATCTGTCTGTCCGTATCAGAAAGTCCCTGGGACATTAATCAGTCCCCTAAAACAACTAGCTCCCCAAAACAACCTACCTGCGAGGTCTTGTACCTGCAAGCTCTCGGTTAGCCCTCTTCCCATGACAACTCAGGTCGGCCTGACTCAAGCCAATACAAATTAGCCTAACTGCATCCACAGTCCACCCAGCTCCCCTAACTTAGGTATTAGTACTCACATCTTGGATGGAATTCTCTGAGGCATGTGTTCTTCTCCCAGAGTTTCCCCTGTGGCATTAAACTCTGGTTGCCCAGAGTGCTAGCTGGCTGGATAAGTTACCCTATATTCCCTGCCTTCCCTTCCCTACTGGTGCTTCCTAAAGTTCGTGTGTGAGTTGATGTCAGGGTCTGCTTCAGGGAACCCAAACTGAGATGATGAATTAATACTTCAAAGGCATTGTCAAGGCCTTCCGGCCAAAGACCACCAGGGAGACACCTACAGTTGAACAAATGAGTTTACTATTTTTTGCAGGAAGAGAGGACATATACCTTAAAAAATCATGGGGTATCTGAGAGGGTGTTAGAATGAACTTAATGGATTTGGACGATTTGGGGAGGGCCTAAGAAAGGAGGGGTTCACTGTATATTGAATGCTATCAGAAAGTGTGGGCAATTCTATGAATGAGAATCTCAGTAACTCTTAACTATAGTGAGGGGAGATTGGGACTACAGCTAGGGGAGACCAGGATGAGGTTAAAGTTGTAACTGACAAATAAATAGGTACTCATTGTCCTTGGGAGATGTTTGGTGCTTTGTGGATGACACCATAAACTTGTTTATGTCTGTGCTTAGACAAAATTATGAAGTTGACTAACTTTGCCTCACCCTATTATGATCTCAGAGTAATCTTGTTTGAGTTTGGTGTTCTGTGAGATGGCCTATGTGTAATAGGAGATTAGTATGGCCTACCTGGGAGGCCAGCTTCTGAAAGTCAGGGCCTGCTTTCTTTTTTCTTTCTCAGCATTTGGAAAATGACAGGCACATAGTAAACATTTAGTGTCAACTACTAACAGCCTGAGCTTGGGGCTTCACACGTACCCTCTTTTATTTCCTAACTATCTCTACTGTGTACAATGCAATGATTTGATGTGTGTGTATCTTGTGAAATGACCAATCAGTCAAGTTAAGGAACATCTCCATCACTTCACACAGTACCTGTTTTTTTTTTTTTTTGTAGTAGACTGTTTAGCAAATTTTAAGAATACAAAATACTATTATTAACTATAGTCATGAAGATACATGAGATGCCCAGGATACATTCATCTTTTAACTGAAAGTTTGTACTTTTTGAACATCTTTCCACTTTTCCTGTCTCCAGGGGCTAGCAACCACCTTTGTATCCTGTTTCTGTGAGTTCAAATTATGCATCCTCTTTATCTTCATAATAATACTGAATTAGGTATTAATATTCAGAGATTACGAGTGAGGAAGGAAATGTGAGCTGAGCTGATGCATTGTCTCAACAGGCACATCACGCAAAGACGGAGAATGAGGTAATAAACTATTAACCGCGGGAGAAAAGCCAGGGCTGGAACGGTCGCAGCCACGCTACATCTCGCCGACAGAGGGCGGTGTGTCCTGCGAAAAGTCAGAGTCCCCCAAAGGCGCTGTTGGCATTTGATTTCAGCTTACTTGGCCTTGGGAAAACTGAAGGCGCAGTTTAAATGCAAGATGTTATTATTCTGATAATATGTGATTTAGTTCCCTCCCCGGACCACGAATTTAAACACGCGCTTAAGAAGAAAACATAAATTACTGAAAAAGGTGTTACCACCCTGTGGGTAGTGTATGTCGCGTGGGGTGGCACTCTGCAAACCCTTGTAGGGCGCAGGGAGTCGGCCACCCGCACAGGGACAGAGAAACTGCCCTTCCCTGACCCACAAAACATTCCGGGCCTAGAAAGCAGCCAAAAGCAACGGCGAGGCCGAGCCAGCCCCGACGGCGGGGGGAACTCGGGGGTTGGAGGAGCGCGGGGACGTCTCCACCCCGGGGTTGGCCTCCCGGAGCTCGCGGCCCGCCCAGCCCGGGCTCGGCTTTCTGGCCCGCCCCGCGGCCCGAGCTCTTCCGGCCGAGTGCAGAGGCTCAACATGGTGCTGCGGTGCTGGGGTTTCTTTGCCCGAGGGTCTCGGCTGCCGTGTGGCCTCGGTCCTCGGCGGGTAAGGCGGTCGGGTGCGCGCGGAGCTAGGACAGGTCTCAGGGCCCAAAGAGTAGAGGGACGGGGCGTCCCGAGGCGCAATGACAAAGGAGCACCAATCTCAGGGCGCAGGGAGAGAGGACAGAGCGTCCCCAGGCGCAGAGAGAGAGGACAGAGTATCCCGAGGAGCAAAGACAGAGGACAGGGCGTCCCGAGGCGCAAGGAGAAAGGGCCACCAGATCTCAGGCGCAAGGAGAGAGGACCACCTCAGGGTTTCTGCGCTGGGTTCGTTTTTCACTAGGATCATATGAGATCCTGGTGTGTGTATGGGAAGTGGGGTTGGTTTTCTTAGTTTAAACATTTTTGGTGACTTTCAAAGTTTTGTGTAGATAAGATAGAGGTATGGAAGGATACAATACGGGCGGCCCCTTGACTGGGAGAGAGGCCAGGGCAGGGGGCGTGGGCCCTGGAGGAAGCCCTGGCCTTACTTTTTTTTTTTTTAATGAGGAAAATACATTTACGTGTTAGTTATGGAATTTAACAGCAATATAAACAAATTCACATACAAATGACATTAAAACTTAAACTGTCTATAGACTCCTTTTCCCAGAGAAAAAGCGGGGAGACGCATCTCAGGTTGGTTTCCACCTGTCACCTACACACTTGTGTTGTTTTGTCCATTTCTCTCCCTTGCATCCATAATTGAAATAAAATATGCAAGTGAAGACAGCTCAGAAGGGGAAGAAAGGAAAAAAAGAAGAAGCAATAGAAGCAATAATATCCAAGACTGAATTTAAAAATCTTTTTTTTTTTTTTTGAGACAGAGCCTCAAGCTGTCCCCCTGGGTAGAGGGCTGTGGCATCACAGCTCACAGCAACCTCCAACTCCTGGGCTCAAGCGAGTCTCCTGCCTCCGCCTCCCAAGTAGCTGGGACTACAGGCGCCCGCCACAACGCCCGGCTAGTTTTTGGTTGCAGCCGTCATTGTTGTTTGGTGGCCCGGGCTGGATTCGAACTCGCCACCTTAGGTGTATGTGGCTGGCGCCTTAGCCACTTGAGCCACAGGCGCTGAGCCAGGAAGATGGGCTTTTTGAATCCCTGGGAAAAGAAAAGTTTTAACCCCTGTGAAGTGGGAGTTTGTTCCAGGGAACATCATTTTTTTTTTTTTTCCTTTTTGAAATAAAAATTATTACAATTAAAATCCCTAATTTCAATACTTTTGTTACTAAGATCCAAGAGATATTTCATTTGCCATAAAACCTATCTGTAAAGTGCTATATTAATGTGTGCTGTTAGCTAGCAGCCTTCAGGTAATTAAGTATTTATGTCTGTGCTGTGCCCTGGGGATGCAAAGATTAAAAAAGAGTTTTGCTCTCAGGTCACTCACATTTCCACTGAGAAAAGCAGTCATTCAATTGTTTATCATAAAAGTGCTAAGTTAGTGCCCACTAAGTGTTGGGGAATCTTGGGAGATCTATGGTTGAAAAACATTTCTACTTACAATGTGCTATTATTCTCATGGATGTTTTTCAAGCTATGGATAATAACCAATAAGTGAGACTTGAAATAATTTAGTGGAGCAAAATAGATTTTAAAAAATAAATTGGAATCAAATAGGTTATGTCCGAGTTCATCTATGTAGTGAGGCTCTTTCCTTTGAGAAACTTAAAAAGAAATTAGCCGTTCTTCCTCTTGTAGATTCTTTGATAACTGTGCTGCACATTGCCATTCTTCTTTTCCTTTTGTTTTTATAAAGAATAGCAACTTAACTATTTTTAGACAAATGTTTTCCTGGCCAATGGGAATTCAAGCAATGCAGTTAAATGAAAAAAAAGTAGCACATGACTTCAGGCTAGCCAGCCAGAACATTTGATGAGCATAATTCCAGGCATCTGTTCTGGTAAAAGGTGGGTAGGCATCATTTTACTTGGGTGTTGCACATTTATTTTTCCCTTCGAATCAACATTGTTTCATTACTTTCTGACACTGAATTTTGTTAAAGAAGTAGAAGAATAGCTGGATATTTTTTCTTGTTTGTCTTTTCCTTATTTTTGTTTATTTATTTTTTATCTGGAAAGCCTAAGTATGTCTTTATTCAATTTAAAATTCTAGAATATAAGCTCTGTGGAGGTAAAGATTTTCATCTGGTTTGTTCACCATTTACACCTCAAATGGTATCTGGTACACAGGTATCTGTTATGTGAATGAATGTGGTGTATGGTGTTGCTATATATAAAGCAGATTTCTTACTATGGTTCACATTGTCTGAAAAAACAAACCAGTGAATCACCACAAAATATTAATAGACTGAAAATGCATACAACATCTATATGAACAAAACTGTATCTAGTAGAAGCAGGGAAGGCTTTGTAAAGGAGTTAGCTCCTGGAGCTTTTGAAAGAGGAATTGGAATGTGTGGGGCCCCAGAGGTTAGACCTAAGGAGTAATGTAGATCAAGAAGTGAAGGAGCATGGCTATTTCTAAAAATTTAAGTGGTTCCGTATTGTGCAATTTGTGAAGTAACAGACCAAGGAGAAGTGGATGGAGATACAATTGATGAGGTTACTGGGAGCTGAGGCAAGATGGGATTCCCTTATTTATATAGCAAATTAAGCATTTACTGTGTGCTAGCTACTGTACTAGGGATGTAAGGATGATAAGAAGAGCTGATTCCCATTCTCAGGAAGCTTACACTGTTAATGGCATCAGAGAATAATGTGGTGTGTGTTAGGAAGGATGTTCTTGATCTCAAGGGGGGTCCATCCAAAATACATCTCTTTTACTCCAGTCTAGAAAACAAGAGTAAAGATGGAGGCTAAAGTCTGAATTTTATTAGGACTTGTGAGAGCCAATGGGCCTGTTAACTGGACTTCCTGTACTAGGCAGATTTACCTCCTCCAGAGGAGGGCAGAACATTGCTCTCTGAGGACCGCTACACTCACTACTCATACCTTATAGTTCTCTCAAAATTTATCAGTCAGATAGACTGTCCCTTGGGTGGCAGGTTGATTAAAAGCAGCGGGAGTCTGGAATTATTTATACTAATGAACTCCTCATAGGAGGGAGACCTCAGAACTCAGGAAGAAGCATTTCCTACTTATGGGGGTGTGTAAGGAGTGTTCAGTTTTTTTTTTAAATTTTAAAATATTATGGGTAAAAATGTTTTTGGTTATATAGATCACTTTTGTCATGCTTGAGTCAGGCCTATAAATGTGCCTATCACCCTGATAATGTTCACTGTACCCATTAAGTAGGTTTTTGCCCACCAGTTCCTCCACCTGCCTTCCTGATTCATTTACGCAGAGTTTTACTTACCTCTATGCACATGTGTGCTCATTGGTTAGTTCCAGTTTAATAGTACCTGTGGTGTTTGTTTTTTTATTTCTAAGATACTTCTCTTAGGATAATGGTCTCCAGTTCCATCCAACTTTGTTATAAAAAGGCAGTAATCATTCTTTTCTATGGCTGAGTAGTATTCCATGGTATATATAACACATTTTGTTAATCCACCAGTGAATTGGTGGGCACTTGGGTTGATTCAACATCTTTGCAATTGTGAATTGCACTGTGATAAACATTCAAGTGCAGGTGGGTTTTTGATAACGTGACTTATTTTCCTTTCAGTAAATACCCAGTAGTGGTATTGGTAGATCAAGTGGTAGGTCTGCTTTTAGTTCTTTGGGGAATTTTCATACACTTCTTTTCTTTCTCTTCCCTTCCTCCACTTTTTTTGGAGACCAAATCTCACTCTGTTGCCACTGGTAGAGTGCCATGGCTTCATCACAGCTCACAATAACCTCAAACTCCTGGATTCAAGGGATCCTCTTGTCTCGGCTTCCCAAGTAGCTGGGACTATAGGAATACACCACCATGCCTGGCTAGTTTTCTTCTATTTTTGGTAGAGATGGGATTTCTCTCTTGCTCAGGCTGGTCTCAAACTCCTGAGCTCAAGCAATCCACCCATTTTGGCCTCCTAGAGTGATAGGATTACAGGCTTGAGTCACTGTGCCTGGCATCATACAGTTTTTCACAGAGGTTATACTAATTTGCAGTCCCACCAACATTATATAAGCATTCCTTTCTCTCTGCAACCATGGCAGCATCTGTTGTTTTGCACTTTTTAATAAAAGCTATTCTAACAAAAGTAAAGAGATATCTCATTGTGGTTTTAATTTGCATTTCCCTGATGATTGGTAACATTTAGCATTTATTCCTGTGTTTGTTGGCCATTTTTCTGTCTTCTTTTGAATAGCTCCTTTTCATGGCTTTTGTCTACTTTTAAATTGAGTGGCGTTTTGTTTCCTTGCTGATTTGCTTGAGTTTTTTGTAGGTTCCAGTTATTAGCCCTTTATTGAATGCATAGGTTCTGAATATTTTCTCCCATTCCATAGGTTGTCTATTTGCTCTGTTGATTATTTCCTTAGCTGCACAGAATGTTTTTAGTTTAATCAAATTTTATTTATTTATTTTTGTTGTTGCTATAATTGCCATTTGGGTCTTATTCATAAATTCTTTGCCTTGGCTGAAATCTATAAGTTTTTCCTACATTTTCTTTTAGAATTCTTGTGGTTTCAGGCCTTACATTTAAGTCTTTTATTCATCTTGAATTAATTCTGGTAAGTGGTGAAAGGTATGGATCCAGTTTCATTCTGCATGTGGCTATCCAGTTTTCCACTGTGTATATTGTTGTCTTCCTTGTCAAAGATCAACTGGCTATAGGTGGATGGTTTTATATCTGAGTTCTCTGTTCTCTTCCATTAGTCTGTGTCTCCATTTTTGTGCAAATACCATGCTGTTTTGGTTACTGTAGCCTTGTAGTATAGTTTGAAGTCTGGTGATTCAATGCCTCTAGATTTAATCTTTTTTCTCAAGATTGCTTTGGGTGTTTGTTCTCTTTTCTGGTTCCAAATGAAGTGTAGAATTACTTTTTCTAGATTTTTGAAATTTGATGTTGGTATTTTGATGGGGATTACGTTGAATCTGTAAATCACTTTGAGTGGTAAGGACATTTTAACAATGTTGAT